CTGGTGAGTATAGTGGGTAAAAAAAGACTAGAGCAATGTTCTAGGAAGCAGGTTATGGCGCTTCTTTTGGCCAGGCAGAAGGGGGCAACCTCGGTTCGTCGACCGCAAGATGACGGAGCAGGACGTTGACAACAAGGAAGTAACGTGGAAGTCGAGGAGATTGGCTTCCTGAACGGTCTTGGTCGAGACGAGAGAATTTCCTCGCTTTCGATTTGTGTAGAAAGCGTGCAGTCTTGCTGCCAGAAGGCGCTGCTTGGCCCGGCACTTGGTCGGCTATGCACGTGCGAACAATGAAAATGTGGAGCATGCTCCGATGAAGACCTCAGTGACAACCTAAACCATGTCGCACGTCACTATCTACTTCCCGTGATGTGCCCATTTTTTGGAACACGGGGAAAGCGAGTCAATGATAGTGCCAAGCACAAGGTCCTTGATGTGGAGGCATGAAGTATTGAGTTCGGTGCCAGCAAAGTCACGTGTCCAGTCACCACTGCATGATCAGGCGTTTCCTTCATGTAGGTACTTTCAACAGCCTGGCGCCTCGAAGGGTGGGGCATTGGGCCGCCCCGCCGTCTGTGCTGTGCTTGCACTAATTACACGTCAACATGGTAGCGGAGTTTGCTGATAAGCTGGAGCGCTCTTTTTCTCGATGCTGAAATTCTTAGTGGATTAAGTGTTGATAGAAATGGCCGGAGGAGCCGCCGCGAGAGCGACAAACCACAGCTGGTACTACAAGGCGTTGCGGCGTGCACCGACCCTTGAACCCGAACTTGGCGGTGCAACAGCGAAGCCTTCGACACGAACGCAGTTCTGCACCTCCAAGAATTGCAGACAACTCTACGCCGTAGGGAGTCGTGGGAGATCAGGCCTTCGTTGTCGATCCTTTCTTGGAATATCTTTGTAGAAACAACTCATACCAATATCCCTGCGGACTTGGCTCCGACAAAAAGCTTCGCTGTCTTGTTTTGGTTTCATACGCGTTCAAGATTAATTAGGCCGCACTTGCCATTGTCCCCCTTGACGCTGAGGAGTCAGGGGTCTGAAGCCACATGAAAAGGATTCCCACCAAAGCCGTTGAGCCCTAAGCTGTGGAAAGACATCATCCCTTGAATACAGCTGAGCGGAACTTTGCCTATGATGACCTTGCTTGGCCCTAAGCTCTTTGGGAACCCCGACCTGCGCCACCCAGTTTAGCATAGTGGTTTTCATACTGTGTATCGTGTGTGCAGATGGGTCAGGACAGCCCCAAGCAACCAACAAAGCGCGAAGGGTCTTGAGGGCCGAAGCGTAAGACAGCAGAGCAAAGGAATCCCCAACACATGCGAAGAAGATTCAGTCTTGGACCGCACGCAGTGCGAAGTTCCGAAGTCAGCACCAAAACCTGCGCAGGCAATTGAGGTAGCGACCAACCCAAGATTTGTTAAGCTGGGGCTGGCCCTGGAAGCCAGCGGTGCACATGCCAAAAGAGCACCCCCGTCTGGGACGTTTTCGTCCGAAAAGATACAGCACGAAAGACTGAGTGGTCAAGGACGAAGGATGTCCAATCGACGTGTTGACTATCAGAGAATCGCAAGCTGGCGTTAGAGCAAAGCAAGATGCCACCTGCAAAGGCAATGACTTCTTCGCCGAAGCTGGATTCAACGATGCTTTTCTCCAACCACGCAAGAAACGCACAGGGAAATGGCACGCTTTCTTTACGCTCCAACCTGTCGATACCTGTGAAAGAAGCAAAGAGTACACTCCAAAGATCTGGAAAAGGTTGAGGCTCCAACTTGCGAACAAGCCAGCGGAGTGCCTTGAGAACGTTGCTCGGATGACCCAGCGAGCTTTTTCCGGAGCGACGCAGCACGCAGAAAGGGAAGCCAAGCTGGAGCCCAGGTCCTCCGTGGCCTGAAGAAAGAGCCGAGACGAACCCGATGCTCGGATGCATGGGCTGAAGCCTCCAGCTTTGCCTCTCGGTGCTAAGCGGTAGAGGTATCTGACAAAGCTGCAGGAACAAGGCCAAGACCACCAAAGCGAGCTTTGTGTTCGGCACGACTAGAAGAGCCAGCCTCTGCAGAGGCAACTTGCGCGGCACTGAGGGTCCTACCCCTACGGGAGGGCGAGGCACGGTCTGTGCCACTGCTGCAGGCAAGGGCGAAGCGGGAGGGAAGAACTCATCCTCCACAGGACACTGAGCATGGAATGATGCGCCCCTGACACAGGGGGTGAGAACCAAAGCGAAAACCTGTACCTGCCTTTGGCATGGCCACCTGAAAGGAAGAGGCAGAAGCAAGCGACTCTTCCAGCGATTCTGTATCCGAAACCAGCACAGCTGTGGTTTCAGGCTGCTCCGTGCCTGCCTCTTCCACGGGAGTCGCTAGCTTACGAAACCGCTTCACTACTCTTATACTGGAGCTGTATCCAAAGATGAGGGAAGCATAGTTCACGACCCCAGCGAAGTGGGCATTGAGACAACTGGAAATGTTGCGCCCCACCGCCAGGAGCCTAGCAATGCACCAGAAACTCAGAACCGTCTCTATAAGACCCAAGCAGGCCTAACAGCGAGGGGAAAAGCACAAAACAGACAAAATCGCCTGCTGGCCGCAGGCTCCTGAGATGCCAAGCTGGAGTATGGAACTCCAGAGGACGCAAGCGCAGTGGAGGCGCTTCTCTTACACTCCCATCAGAGCTCAAGCTACTGCTACGGCTGCTAGCGCTCAGGCACTTATGCAGAAATGAGAAGCGCAAGTCCTGAAGACATGAAGCATACATCATACGCAGTCACAGCTGATCTATAAAAGCAAAGCTTAAAAGCAAAGCTAAGCATGTTAGCTAGAAGCGTGAATGTGGAAGTGCGTACCTTGGAGCCCAAGTTACAGCGCAACACACAGGTAAGAAACATACACGAGCAAACACACGCAATGCGCTATCAATGATCATCATTCATGGAACTCTGCCCAGCTCCTCGGGAAGTTCCATTGCAAAGGCCACACCTGGGGGAAGGGCCGAAGAGGTTACACGCCTGCATACAAACATCATGAACAACACATGCTAGAAAATTGATTGAACGTTTTTTGTCGGTAACGTTGGCACTTCCATCCGTGTTTTTTTTTGCACGCATCTGTTCCTGAAATGGTCTTTTCAACATCTTAGGGAAGGTCTGTCCTCTGCCGAAAGCGGATCCATGGCGGGCGTCAGTGCGATCTGCCTAGCAATAGAACAACGCAGCGTGAAAGATCCCTGTCACGCGGGGTTCGTCGCCAGTGCGGAGGGGCGTTGGGCTCACCTGGCCCCTCACCTCGTCCAACAAATCTTCCATCCTGTCTCTGCTGGCGCGGAAGATGGTCAGCTCCTGGAGTTGGACCAGGATGGCTGCTGACATGTCCTGCTCCACTTGAGCCGGAACCGCCGTGTCTTCTTGGGCCGTGTAATAATCCTCTAGCCTGCCCTCGGCGGATTCCACCCAACTCTCGACCGCATCTTTCAAGTCCCTGACGCTGGGCAAGACTGACGCGGTCACCCCAAACGCTGTAAACGGTCTCCTTGTCCGAGAGCGCTTGCGTTCCAATTGGCTGCGCACTGCCATCTCCATCTCCACCATGCGAACGTCCAACAACTCGGCCTCGTCCTCGGCGCCTTGCACCGCCACGGTGATGAGCGTGCTGGGTCGCAGCAGATTGTCTTCGGGGCCTTCCACGGCCGCCTCGAGTTCTTCCGCTGGAATGGCATTGGGAGATAGCGCCAGAATGATTCCTTGAGCACTCACTCTGAGAGGCATGGCCATGTACAGCTCCTCGCCATCCGCAGGCCATCTGAGAAGCAAGAGGTCCACAGGGTTCCCGCTGGAGTTTACACATTTGAGGTTCAAAACCCCTCGCTGTGCAATTGGCATGATAGTCGCAAGCAGTCGGCGTACCAGAAGGCGTAGGTCGCAGATTGCAAGGAGACCGCCTCTCCTGGGTGTTATAAGCCACTGGCCGCCTGCCCCGATTCAACAGTCCTGAAAATCCACTCTTACAAGGTCCCGACCCCTTCTGGGAGCAAGAAGCGTACGATGAAGCAGCAAATGGCCAGCTCCAAAGGCTCCAAAGTTGGCTTGCGCTCTTCTTCCTTGAAGGCTCACTCATGCACGGTAGGCCTGCAGACGATTCCGGCCCACTCTTGGTGCAGCCGCAGCAAGGCCTGGTCCGGATCCGGGGTGTCCAGAGCAGACAATAGAAATCGCACTTCCACTTGGCACACCTGGTAGACAAGAAGAAGCCAGTGATGATTGCTGCGCAGAACACGCCCCTCCAAAAGACCACAAGGGTCCAAAGAAGCAGCTCAGCAAAGCAAGAAGGCGGATTATGGCACCACCAGCTATGGACAGCCGGCAGGGAACTTAGGACCAGGTCCCTGAGCATCCAAAAACAGCTTACGGGCAGCAACACTTGACCCTGATCCACAGGCCCAAAGAATGCAAGCCATGCAGAGGTCGACGGTCTCACCGGTGATGCCTGCCTAGGCCTCCACCTCGTGCTTCGGCCTTGCCAATGACGCCTCCAAACGTTCTTGGCAGACGGCGGCAGGTGGCAAAAACAAGAGAAGTCGCCGGAGTCGAGGTGCATATGTGCCCGGGCATTTGTAAATGCAAGGTACCTTCTTACCCAAATGTTTTATCTCACCAAGGCACCTACTTCACTACCACATTAGACATAACTTTATGCATAAGCAAGTGGCGCTGGAATTGAATGTCCTTGTTTGGGGTGGCATCGAAGGAAGCGTGCTAGTGCTACCAATGATCATCATTAATGGAGCTCTGCCCAGCTTCTCGGGAAGTCCCATTGCAAAGGCCACACCTGTGGGAAGGGCCGAAGAGGTTACACGCCTGCATACAAACATCATGAACAACACATGCTAGAAAATGTGATTGAGCGTTTCTTTGCCTGTAACGTTGGCACTTCCATCCGTGTTTTTTGCGCGCATCTGTTCCTGAAATGGTCTTTTCAACATCTTAGGGAAGGTCTGTCCTCTGCCGGAAGCGGATCCATGGCGTGCGTCAGTGCGATCTGCCCAGCAATAAAACAACGCAGCGTGAAAGATCAAAGAACAAATTAATCTTGAACGCATATGAAACCAAAACAAGACAGCGAAGCTTTTTGTCAGAGCCAAGTCATGACTTGTTTCTACAAAGATATTCCAAGAAAGGATCCACGACGAAGGCCTGATCTCCCACGACTCCCTACGGCATAGAGTTGTCTGCAATTCTTAGAGGTGCAGAACAGCATCCGTGCCGAAGGCTTCGCTGTTGTCATCTTCATCACCGCCGAGTTCGGGTTCAAGGATCGGTGCACGCCGCCACGCCTTGTAGTACCAGCTGTGGTTTGTCGCTCTCGCGGCGGCTCCTCCGGCCATTTCTATCAACACTTAATCCACTAAGAATTTCAGCATCGAGAAAAAGAGCGCTCCAGCTTATCAGCAAACTCCGCTACCATGTTGACGTGTAATTGGTGCAAGCACAGTACAGACGGCGGGGCGGCCCAATGCCCCACCCTTCGAGGCACCAGGCTGTTGAAAGTACCTACATGAAGGAAACGCCTGATCATGCAGTGGTGACGGGACACGTGACTTTGCTGGCACCGAACTCAATACTTCATGCCTCCACATCAAGGACCTTGTGCTTGACACTATCATTGACTCGCTTTCCCCGTGTTCCAAAAAATGGGCACATCACGGGAAGTAGATAGTGACATGCGACATCGTGGTTTAGGTTGTCACTGAGGTCTTCATCGGAGCAAACATGAGGCACAGGATTGGAACAATACGTGCAAGAATGCATGCACCGTGCCTAAAGCATCCCTGGAGTTGAAAGCAGTTGTGCAGGCGGGTCGCCTGCATGTTGTTTTGAATTGCGGGCCCTCTTCGAGTTCCAGCTTCTGCGTTCTATAGGACATATCCAATGGAAATCAAAATTTCTGATTTGCAGTATGAGCTCAACAACGCTGATGGCCCTGTAGTGCGAGTTGAGTCTTGGATATGCCTTTTCTGGAACCGTGCCAACACCGCGGCTTTGTAATGCAAGATTAGTACCGCCGTCTCTGGATTCGGGATGAATGTCATGGATGGGTAGTATAAATTGTTGTTGTCATCGCTGGGTGAGTCTCACACTCGAGAAACTGGCATGGAATGCTCCCTCACTCCGAAAGTCCTGGCCGTACATATTGATTGGGTCGGATCACGAAGGTTTTCGTAAACTGTTGTTATGGTTTGCTTACTTTTTGTTTATCCTGTGGAGCACAACCAATAGAACCTAAAATCAGGACATGCTCCGAAATGCTGAGGTTACTGCCATGCGATTGTTCTTTTGCATGGACAGCTGTGATGAGACGGATCTTTGAATATTTGCGGCTAGGCGGTAAATACTCAGACCCTCTAACAGCTAGCGCTCTTCAGAGTCTTGCGGCACGAGGAGAAGTCTTGATATGCAAACAGCAATCATGGCAAGCAATTTGAGTGAAAGAGATTTCTGCTACATAGATAGCTAGGACTAGGATTGTAAGAATTATTGCCGAAAAAAGCTGGATTTCCAGATTCTTCACACGAACTGCTAGATTCCGAGGGCTGCTGCCACACATTATAGACAGCTAGAGCTTTCAAAATAAAGGCACCACGGCTATAAGGTTCCATCAGCTAGAATTCTACAGACTTGTCCGTGTAAATCGCTGGGCTTGTGGGTATTTTTGGTATCTCACTTCCATGACTTTTTATCCTGCTGACACCCAAAATCATGGCTTCGGACAGGCTCAATATCTGCGTTATCCTTGTTTTACTCTTATCGCTCTGATGGCTTTTCAACTTCCACACGGGCTTTTGCTTTAACCTCATGCCAGGGGTTCAGGCCAACAGCCGAGGCGGGGCACGCGCTTGCGTGTACAAAGGAAACAAGACCGAAACAGAAGGTCCTAGCGAGGTGGGATGCAATGGTTCAATTGCACTTGCTGCTGCCCAGAAACAATGCATTCCCTGTTGAACTTTTGCCGTCACCGGTAACTCCGACGAGCACGACAGTGTGACGCTGGTCACCTTCCTGCGTGCGCGACGCTTTCTGCCTAAATCAATCTAAATCACAAACTCGGAGAGCCAAGCACTACCTGCTTTGCCACTGCTGTATTGTTCCTGTCTGTTGATAGTTGGCAGAGAGAAATTGCACCCAAGCCTACCTCCAAAAGCTAACCTGGTCTGGACAACCCCTGTCCAACAGGCTTGCAGCATCAGGGTTCAGCATGGCATGGCCCGAGATGCGCCGGAATTGGGCTCAGCTCCGCTACCGCTCAGTTGTGAGAAGTGAACACCATGTGGTGCTGCGTGTGATCAGCTACTATAAATGCACTTGTTGCCTTCTCCTACACATGACATTTCACCCTCAAGCCATGTCCAGCCCTTCTTGTTCTCCGTTTGATGCAATTTTCCTTATCCTGCATGTGACACACGGCTGAAGCCATATTTGAAAGGACAAGCCGAGGCACATCACGCGACATCACCAAGCATTTGCCTCCTCTTTGCGCTGTAGATGTTTGCCTATCAGCTTGCTGCTAGGCGTTCCATCTTTTTCAGTGTGCTGAAAGATTTGATGCAAACGCAGTTGTGATGTGTCACACTGAATTCACTGTGAGATGGTCACCGTGCAGCAGCCCTCCTCGGCCCCTCATGCCGCTGCAAAAAAGGAGACGGCAACAGCTTGTCGGGCCTCAAGTATCACCTACTTCGGACAAAACTTGGGTTTTCAGGCATACTGGGCTTTATAGCAGAGCTTGAAGTATTTGCATTATCTTGCTGCGGCGTCCATGTTCAGCCATAGAATGCAAACTGAGTTGAATTCATGAATTGAAATTGCACGGCACACGGCCAGACAACAAGCCTCGATCTCGGAGGCCGCGTGCAAAAACCCACTCGAGGTCAACAAGTGACTGAATACACTGCCATTCTGAAAACAGTACATGCCAGGCTGAAAATGAGGTTCACGACAATATCAACTTCAGCAGCAAATCACTCGTCTCCAACTCGCGTCATTACTTCCTTCCAGCTGGCAAATACGCTCATCTTGCGAGGTCGCGACACTCTGGGCGCCCCATGTAGTCCATGCAGTATATCCACTGAATCTTGCAATGCGCCGAGTCTGTCCCGCAACCAGGATATCATTCCTCCCGGATATGCACAAAGCTCCACAAGCAAATAAGGCTTCAAAGTGCAGCTGAGAAGCGTTTGTTGCAATACATCAATGTGGCAAGATCAATGGCTTGGGCAGCACCACGCAAGCGCAGGACACCGTCCAAGAGCTCATCGAAGCTGACCTTGGAACACTCTGTCGTGTCCAGCAGGAGGAACAGACCTGGGCAACAGAGGCCATGCTGATGGAAGAGGAGGAGGTGCGTGCAGGATGTGCAGGATGTGCTGGCATTCCTGGCCTCGTGCTTCTTGCGCTTCCATGCCAAGGGCGCTTAGAAAATACTTTGACTTGTCTGTGTCATCCAGGAAACGATCCTCAGAATCCACGACGTAGGGAACGCCATATCGGAAAAAGGCTTAAATCTTTGCATGCCAGGTGCAAACTCTTCCATTGTGAGGTCACCATCCTGGTTGAGGTCGGCATTTCGGAACAGAAGCCGTAGTTGCCGCCTTATCTCCTGACAATTGCTGACTTTGAGAATTGCAGAAGGCCAGCCGAAAATCGCGCCTTCTCTCGTTGCCGTTCATGGGCATTCAGGGAGGCTTGAACAAACATCCCCGTCGCGATGTTCATCAGAGCAAGTACGACAAACGCCACATATAGAGCCTCAGCTTACAGGCTGCGTCGGCGCCCGGAAGTGAAGCTCAGAAGCTGGGTTCTGGCATGTTCTGGCTCTGTGCAGTCATGATCAACACGTCCCAGCAACATACGGGATCCCAATCCAAGCTCCAGCTGTGTCAACCTCAGGATGCTTAATGTCAAATCCTGTTCGTCGCAGATTCCTATTAGAACTGGTTTCTGTGTCGGGCATTGCCTACGGTCAACGTAATACACTTTTTTGCACCTATTCAAAGCTCAAGAAGCTAGGGGTCTCAACGCCAAGTCCCAGCTGAGACCTCCAGTCATCGACTGGTACAAGGTGAGCATGGTTCCTGGGCAGTATTTGCTTGCTACCTGTTTGCATGAAGACGTCAATATTGACAACTCATCCCAGCAACTTCATGAAAACATACGAAAACAAGAGCTTGCCGGCAAGACATCAACAGGAAATATCAAGAAATCAAACATACTTGGACTGGATACCACCCAAAACTGCGAAAGCTTCTCTACCCCACAAGATCCATGCTAATCCATTCACAGCTTTACAATTCACATGACTCCTTTGCCTGAAATCTCATTAACCGCTGCGACCTTCGCGGAGCTTTGGCGGAGAGCTTTCGCGGTTTTTCGCGCGCACACTAAAAATCTGGGCTTGGAAATGCCAATCCCGGCTAATGACTTGCAAACCGTATATCAAGACCTTTCGCAGCGCTTCCGCACGTCTTTCCAGTGCCAAGAAAGCAACCTTGGAACACTACGCTAAGAACTCGCGAAACGGAAAACAGTCACGCGCTTTAGAACAAGCATCGCGTATTCGACCATTGAAATCCAGCAGGCAAACGAAACCAGCGCAGACTCCCAGCATTTCCGGCCCTTTTTTTGCATCTGGTCCGGCAGGCTCTGCCAGAAAGTAGGCCCAGGGCCCATGAGCAGATGTACGAAACAACTCTTTCCCGTCTGAGGCCCACGGAACAAATCGACACAGTTGGAGTTGACAAAAAGGAAGGGCAGCAAAGAACGGCAAACTTCTCGCAACACTGGAGTACCTTCCGGCTACTCTACTCCACCATGTGCCAAAGGTGGTCGACTCTGCGCCCCTCAACCCCAATCTATCTCCCTCTACTCTGTCTTGTCTGCCGCACCCAAACCAACTACTATCCCTGCTCACTCAAACCGACAACTACCCCTGTTCTACTCTAGGGCTCTGCAGTACATTCTTCCAGTGGATCACGTCCGTCTGTGCTGCTACTTGAATTTACTCCTAACCCAAACTATCCCAGTCGTACCTTGTGCTACATATTCCACAGCTCTGTAACTCCCTCATGCGAATGACTCCGCGACGGCAGTTCTGTTTACAGACTGTGGTCAGCGCGCTTTTCTCAAGCCAAACATTCAACTCAGTTGATCTTTGTCTTCCCTCTCTGTAGAAAAAAGAATTCCACCTGTTCAAGTTATCAAAGCATTGTCATGGTTGCGACATGTGGCGACTGTGAAAGAGCTGGCTGGGAGTTATCTTTGGTATGTGACTGCAAGCTTGCAAGCACACTGGCACAACTTGAGAAGCAGGATCGGCACAGCATTGCACAACCGTCTCTACAGATCAAGGCATGTGAATTGCACAACAGTAAGCCTTGTTGAGAGTATGTGCTAGCTGCAGCATGCGGTCGGCGCGTGTCAGTTGACATCCACATGTTCTTTAGATTCTGGAAATGTCGCGTAGGACTCTCACATTCCCTCTTTTGATTTCTGTTGATCCTTATCTTAATTATGTTTGATCCTGAGTTTGAAGTTCTTGATTCTTCGTTGATGTTGTTGATCCCCAACCCTCCCATTCACGTCATCCCATCAATCAAGCATCAAGCCATCCTATACACAACCACCTCGACGGGAATACCTGCACAACGCCTCCGGGAATGTTCATTACAAGTGGCGGGGTCATCAAGCATCCGTCGGTGAGAATATGCATCTGCCCCATGTAGACGCAAATCATTGGGGAAATTATACATCACAGGATGCAAACCGCCCAAAAGGCGCTGTGTAAAGTTCAGATCATGCCCTCGGCTTCACATCCCATTCGATACCCCTCGAAAGCCACACCAGAACCATGTCACGTCATACCGTCAAATCATCCCACTGATCAAACATCAAGCCACCCCACTGCCAACCACCTTCAGGAAAAGCCCTTTTGCAAGCGTCCAGGCACGCCGCTTCCGCTGAGAAAATTGTCGCTCGCGACGAAAGAGGATGCTCCGCGCAGGAGCGTCCGGTGGCGCCGGGATTCCCCTCAAGAAGGTTAGATACGGTTCCACTCGGCATGTTCCAGTGTGTTGGCTTCAGACGAACCTCCAACAGACTTATCCAATTAGGAGGCCAAAGGGATAACTGGCAAAATGGTACCGGCCCGGCTTGCTTTATGTTTCCTCAGTGATGGCGGCGACCGCAGTGGGCAGTGGAATGAAGGCACGCGGTTACTTACAACGAAACTGCTTCTTGCCGATGCTGATAGCACCTGCACCTTGAGGAGCAGTGAGAATATTGGATCATGGCATTTGCGCATCAAGGCAATCTGGTTTCATGAAAAATTGACGCCGACCAAGGCTTTGAGTAGTCATCGGATAGCGTATCTTTTCAAGCTTTGGAAAATGAGCAAACCTGCCAAAACAGACTAGGTCATGCAGTGTTCGCGTGGAACGCTTGCGCCAGCCCCTTCGAGCCGCGGCCGTAACGTCTGAACACATGTCTGGGTTTTCCGAAGCCCCGGCTGGTTCCCGGTACGCAGTGCCGGTTCGTGTTACGGAATTGGGGCCGGTTCCTGTTACACTCCACTCTTACGGACAATCGGTTCCTGTTACTTCCAGTCCTCGCAGGTCCAGCAGTGGCATCGCTAGAAACCGACGCTGGTCTTAGGATGTCTTGGTTTTAGGGCTCCAAAAAGGCAAACGGCGCTGATTTCCTTCGTGATGATGCCTCAGGTAAGGACTTGGACCAGCTACCCAAAAAACCTAGTTCGTGAGAGATTGGCTGTGCACTGTACGCTGATGACCCCTTTTGAGAGAAGCACAAAAAGATAAACCACAATACAGGAGGTAGTAACCCATTATAGTACCTAACGGGTGAAGGGTACTCGGATCATCGTACCCAGGTTGCGCAGGCATGCTGATCGTCACTGTGTCATTCCAGAATGTCAGAATGATGAAGCTGCCATGGCAGCACGCGAACTGAGAGAACCCTTTTAACTCACGCACATACAGACCTCAGTCAGCCTCACGCGCTCTACTGCATAGTTTCTGGGTTTTGTGCTTGGCTTTAACCTAGAACACGAAGCGACAACTTTGCAGGGCTCTGGCTTGATTGGAGATGCAGACAGCTTTGTTTCTGGAGCGGGAGTTGCGCGGACATGGGGTGACTAATCGAGGATTTCATGATTAGCACATCAATCAGGGCCCATCGGAATCAGGCTGACGTACGATGACCTCGCCAGCATAGATATGACGTACAATCAGTTCATCCAGTCGCAAGCTGAGGAACTTGCGAAAGATACAGGCATGCACACATACTGAGGCAGGAGTCCAGACAGGCCAAAGTGGCCTCGCCGTGCAAGAAGTGGTGAGGGAAGTTCCGGTGGAAAGGCCAAGGCGGCCAAGGCCTTTTCTCACAGATGGGCATTACCAGCCAGTTGATTTCCCACTTCTGGTTTCCTCAATAAAGGATTGTCTTCATATGGTGCCGGGCAGGGGGCTCAGAAATGCATCGACCTCATTTAACCAATGACTTTTTGCAAGCACTGCGAGTCAAGGATGGAGTTAGCACGCAGAAGGCTAGCGTTCCGAAGACTCACTGGACACCATACAGGTTGACCGATAAATGGCAACTGGGGGTTCCAACAACAAGTTCGCGGGGGAATCCTGACAAACTTGCCCTAAACCAGAGAATTGATCCTCTGGCTGCTGTAGCGTCAGTTCCTTGGTGAACTGTGCTGATTTAACACAGGCCCATCTTACTTCCAGCTCTCCCGATGGTCGAAGCACCTGCTACTGCTCTGCCTGCTCTGCTTGCACTACTGCGTTGCCATCTCTCGTCTACGCTCTCCCCTGCTCTAACTGTCAGCAACATCGAAGGTTGCATCTCGGGGCTGGAGCAAGATGAAAACAGGCATGGGGGTAGGAATACAAATCCCGCATCAACCGCACCAATGCCGAAATGAGGGATGCCACGCAAACAGGGCTTTGATTCGTTTTGCCGACAACTCTGGCTAAATGATTTCTTGCAGCAGCAGCAGCAGCAGCATCAACAACAACAGCAACAACAGCAACAGCAGCAGCAACAACAAAAGTAGAAGAAATCAGTGCTCACGTCTTTCGCAAGGTACACTGCACAAAAAAAAAGCTGGACAATTTGCTGTGCAACTTTGCACTTACGATCTACATTGTGATGATCAAGCCGCTTGGAACACCTCAACACAATCTGCGGTGCGGTGCCCATTCAAATGATGCCAGGCTGCGAGACAAATCTGAAAAATAGAGCTGCAAGTCTGGATGTTGCAGCATGAGCTCTTTGTTGATGGCTCCAGCATCAATGATGAACCTGCCAGTCACTGGATGACACGTGCGCGGCATCAAAGAAACACAAGTTGCTGCAACAAACCAGTGCATTTAACATGCATGCCATCACAAACGGGCAAATATGAAAACAGCTGAGCCAAAGCCATGCCATCCCCAAGTGAACAGTTCTTGTCCATGCAAACGAAAGACTGCGCGAAGAAGACAGCTGCCGCAAATATGATCATAGCCAAAAGCCTGGTGGAAGCAACGGTGCACACGGAGATACATCCACAGTGCTGCAAAAGTCAAGATGCACCATTGTCCATCCGAGCGCTCGCAAAGTGGAAAAAATCGAAAACAACATGGACCGAAGCTCCTTTGTGCACCAAGATATTTTGACCGTCACAACTGCAGAAATACAGAAACGCATCAAATCAGCATGCTTCAAATCTATATGCTAGGGCTGCAAAGGCTCCTGTATGAATCGCAACAGGCGCACAATCCGCAGGATTCGCAACAGCCGGAACCTTCATGAACCCAAGGTGTACTGCGAACACCACTTGTCAAAAAAAAATCTTGAAAGCTGGACGCTGACTTGGCCAAGCTTCGTCCGGATGATTCGGATGGCACTTGAAGAGGTACTGAGCTGGATTTCCCCTTGGTTATCCTGCCCTAGAATCATGGAAGCCTCTTCAAAGAGCTGCACACTTACAATCGCCACATCGAAGTAGTTCCATTGCCAATCCTTATGCTGCTTATGACGGACAAAAAGATGTTCTCGCAAACACGACTCACAACAATCAAAAAAAAAATGCCCTGAAGCCAAGGAGCCACCCTCCAAAAAAAGCCTGGTCCGTATACAAACATACGAACGAACAATTCGAGTGCAAAAATGCCAGCAAATAGCCTCTCAGCATCTTGGAACTGTGTAGGCTCGTCCTGGTGTAAATGTTTCAGGTTCCAATCACTTGCCGCCCCAATCATGACCGTATTCAACCCGATGCAGAAAACAACGAGACCTTCGAACCAGGTTGTTTCCACAACCTTCCGTTGCAAGCTGACACGCACTTGCGATAGTACTGTGCGGTGTTCATTCTCGACCGCCCAGCTGTCGCCTTGGTTCAAGACTGGTGCCGTGAGCATTTCCAATACGGATTGCCGGAATGATGGTTGACCTGCTTGAGGCATGTCAAGCTCTGCCACGGAATGCAAAAGACTATGTCGAATATCGGTAACTCCTGCAGGCGGCGTTCTCGAAAAAATATGTGCACCAACTGTGCTTCTGCGTCGCAATCTCTGACTTTCTCCCGCGACAGCAGGGCTTGTGGCGTTGTCATTGGGCTCCGACAGCATGCCAGGCATACCAGGCAATGCGCCTGCCAACTCTGCAATGTCGCTGGCCTGGTTCTCATCCGTTGCATTGTCTGCATTGTCCGGCTTGTCCGAATCGTCCGACGTTTCTGGATCAACCCCATTGGCATGTAATGTGTGGTCCCGGAAACGCTTCAGACTAAAACCCAACTCTTGTGAAATCACAGTTTGAATGCGGTCCACGATAAATTCGCTTTGCGCATCCAGCTTGTCTTGCAAAAGTTTCGAAAGGATTGCTTCAACCTGCTCAGGCATGCATGACTGTGCTTCTGCCACAGCCGGCTCCTGCAAACATGTAACCCATGCCCTGCCTCTTCTTGGCCTTTGCTCATCCTGACCCTCTGCGCAGGCATGTGTTGCCTTGAAATTACATGCTACCTGATTTGGAGCCAACGTGTGAACTAACGTGTTTGTTGCACAAGGACGCGCAGGTGGTCAGGGCAAGGACTGCAAGACATCTTCGGTAAACACATTGCTGTGCACGTGCATCGGTTTCAGTGGAGGTTTGGAAGAATGGGCTGGGCTGCCCGTGTTTTCCGATGGCCCGAATGCCAGAAAAGCAACGGTGTAGCGTGTGATGCATCAGCCAATTTGGGGAGATTTTGCGCGAGAAATAAACAGGCACTGGCCTGTGTCGCCAGCAAAAGCAGAATTGGGCCAGCAGCAGGATGCAGCAGGCATTTGCGGCTGCTGTTGCTGCTGCTGTTGTTGCTCTGTTTTTGCTCTTGTTGCTGTTGTTGCTGCTGTTGTTGCTGTCGTTGTTGCTGCTGCTCTGAACCAAAATTAAGTCTGGTCCGAACATGGGAAGCTCGGGGAAACCATGTAAGAATTTAACAAACACCTAACGGGCAATATGATTGAAGCTTCGCATGTGTTCCATGCAGCCGAAATAATCAAGCATTTGAAAGGTCCGTCCAACGTGTTGTTCTGGACACAAAAAACGCGTAAAGCATCTGGCGGCATGTTAAACAAATCAAAAATTAATGCAAGCATTTTGGTTCGTTTGTGTTGGGATGTGTTGGGTATTTTTTGGTGGGTTCCTGGGCCTTTTGTACGCCAGTGAGTGAGTGAAAACTAACCTGCACTTACGGCGCGGCCTACCTCCCACGTCCAACTCAGCAACTCAGAGGGGTTCCGCAAGCATCATCGCCCATTTCCGCCACAGAATTCTAGTAGTGGGGGATTGCCAGATAATGCAACCCGGACGGCGCATCTCCGTTGCATGGCTTTTGTAGTTATAGAAAAAATTCCTCATGATTGCTGCTAGCGTTGGATGGGCCCGTCCCACAAATTGTACCTTCGTCTCATGACAACTGGACGGCATGCGGGCTAAGGGCTAAGGCATCTCAGTCAGTTGGTAAAAGCGTGACCTGTGCGGAGTCCAAACATAGAGGGCGCACGCCACCACGCTCGAACACCATGCGCCAGGCACAGAGGGAGCACGGCTCCAACGCCGGAAGCAACATGGCATGAGCATGAACTGCACATGGAAATCATCACCCACAAAGGGCCCAATGACGCCCATGGGCAATGTAGCAATCAACCGTATGATAGGCCAAACGCAAAAGCACGTTGGGCCCATTAAAGCCAATAACCAATATAGCAAGCAGCACGGCGTATCCAGACGCCAAATGCAAAAGTGCATTCGCTCGAACTGGCTCTAACCTTTATCATCTCGCGTGTCAGCCCGTAGTCTCATGTCCAGGGCCTACCCCATTGCAACTGGAATCAGCAGCCTGTCACTTGCAGAAAAATGTGTATCGGCAGACCTGAGGCACCAGGTAACTGGCGTCATCAACACTAATACGTTTTCCTGTGAAGGTCCCCGGCAGCCAGTCAACTTCATGCGCCACCAGGACCACCGCATAACCCATGGACCAGGAATTCCAGGATTCGTGGCAGCCGGGCCGTAAGGAGATGCGGGCACACCAATTTTTTTTCAAGAAGAAGCAACAACAAATTGACAAGGAGAGCAAAACAAAACAAGGATTTCTGGAAAAGCAACGCTCAAGGCGCTGGCTATACGATCATGTCACAAACATGCTGTACGAAGCACAGTTTTGGTTTTAGCACCGGACAAAACAAGCCCAAGAACAGCAGGAAATGGCCGAACAATCCTCAGATTTGGTTTTAGCACCGAGTAGAGTCAGGATGTCTGTAAGGAGCTGAATTCAGCGCAGTTTTGGTTTTAGCACTGGCTAGCCAGAGTTTCGGCTTGAGCATCAGCCAAAATACAAATCAAGTGGCGCAAACAGCCTGCTAGTGAGTCAGTCTTTATTCTAACGCTGTCAGAAGGAAAAAAAGAAACTACCAAGCAAAAATGAATCACAACTGCGCAGACGGGTGGCAGATGGGCCCATTCAAATAGCTGACTATTGCTTTGTTGGAGTTGTCGTCTCATGCTAGGAACACGTTCAACGAATTTACTCAAATTTCATTGCATCCCGACACTCGAACTGAAGATGTTTAATCGTTTCACAACTTTGTTGGCCACAAACCGTGCAAACAGCGCTCTACCCTCGCCGCACGCGCAGAAGCTTCGACCTCGCAGTCACCAGTGGCCTGCGTGGCGATGTACTTGCTGCGTCGGCTGCGGATGGTTCGCAGGCCTCTGCTGCATACGAGGCGCGGAAGTGCTCTCACCAACATACTGAGGCGCAGTGTGATGCCCAAGGGCTCCAATTTGTCCCCCTGGTCGCCGAAGCTTGCGGGGGCGGGTGGGGCAAGACAGCTATGATCACATGGCGCACCCTTGGATCCCTCATTTCGGCCCGGACAGGGGAATCCACAAGCATAGTCATCGAGCAACTGCTTCAAAGCCTCAGCGTTTCTCTCCAGCGCGAGACCGCCCGTGCAGTGCTCCGACGCCTGCCGACTGCTGCAGCTGCCCTGCCTGGCCGCCCAGAGCCGTGATCTCCCTTAGGGACCCTAATGGTTGTAGTCCCTTCTCCTTTGCCGGGTCTTTGGTCGTAGGCCCGTTTGCCATCTCCTGCCTGCCTGCATTGCCTCCCCGACCCCGTGCTATGAACGCGTAGCGCCCGCGCTTCCCTCTTCCTCTGCCTGGCCTCTGTGGTGTGGGTTGTCGGGTTGGTTGTTCTGGTTTTTGGGGTTGGTTGTTTCGGTTCCGGGCCAGTTGAAAGACGGTGCAAGGCTTGTGTGATAGACTCTTTTGCATTTCACCTCACCGCTGCCAGGGTTTTCGTCCCGCTGGGTTTTTCCCTGGCTTGTATAGATGCGGGTTTCGTTTTTGTCTGTACCCCAGAGTCGAATCCAGCAGCAAATGATCGGTGAGAGTCCACCAAACGAGGACGACAAGTCACCAAGTAGCCTCAATTGCATCCAGGCCTGCGATTCCAGGATGCTGAACCCGAGATGCACGAGCTGCGCAAGTGTCCAATGAGCCGCCACATGATGCAGCCAATAGGCCTCGTTCTCTGGACAACTATGCCAAGCTTTGTCTTCATGAGCCCGGATCCGAACGCAACCGACCGTCTGGGCGTGGTAGTGCAACTGGGGCTCTTCAACTTGGTGGAGTTTGGCTGGAAACATCACCTCCGAAGGCAAGACGCGGGTGATCGCAGCAAGGCATCGCCGAGCTGGGCGAAGCAGTCTGGCGAGGCGACAAGGCACCAGCCGAGCGAGGGGTCATCGTTTTGGGCTCGCCCATCGCGCACGCGCGGAGCGGCTGCACGAGCAGCTCAAGCTCCTGCAGCAACTGCCATTGCTGCCGGTTTTGCACTGCAGCTGGCTTCTTTTGTCCACGTGCGCCTCCCCGCGGGCCAAGGTAAGGGGGTCATTTTGGTCCCCCCAAAAAGGGTCATTTTGGTCCCCCCAACCCGGACGCCCAGGACTTTGGCCCGGACAGCCCGGACACATGGCCCGGACAGCCTGGACATGTGGCCCGGACAGCCCAGACATGTGGCCCAGACAGCCCGGACACGTGGGCCCGGACAGCCCGGACACGTGGGCCCGGACAGCCCAGACTTTGGCCCGGACAGCCACGACTTTGCCCCGGACAGCCTGGATTTTTCGGCCAAGATTCCCACAATATGAAAGATCCTAACATGTCATCATGCATCAGCCATCTACACCCTTCCCACCCCCTGAAAGCGAAAAAATCAAAGCCATGAATCCTGCCCGGACTACTACCCCGGACTCCCAAACAACAATATGAGAGATCCTAACGTTTCATCATACATCAGCCATCTACACCCCCCACCCCTTTAAAACGAAAAAATCAAAGCCAAATAGAGCCATGAAAGCTCCAAACACTTCTTCAAACATCAGCCATCCAAAACCCCCACCCCCTTAAAGCGAACCAAGGGACTCCTGCACTTGCCACACAACACCCAGCCCGGACAGCCCGGACTCTTGCCCGGACGCCTGCCCGGACTACACCCCAGATTCCCAAGCAACAATATGAAAGATCCTAACTTTTCATCATACATCAGCCATCTACACCCCCCCACCCCCTTTAAGCGAAAAAATCAAAGCCATATAGAGCCGTGATAGCTCCAAACACGTCGAACATCAACCATCCAAACCCCCCCACCCCCTTA